TCAACACATAAACACACAGAGTTTATATATATATATATATATGTGTGTGTGTGTGTGTATGGCGATAATACCGCATACCGCGCTATTGAGCCACTCAAAATTACCGCAAGGGAAATTCCCTCACCGCGACAGCCCTACTCTTATTAAGACTACAACAGTAATAAGAATACTGTAAATAATAGTATTATTAATAATAATTATTCTGTTTTTGTATAACTATTTCCTTGTTCATTTTGTGATTTTCTTTTTTTTTTGTTTCTTGCATTCTTTTTGTTATTCCCATATTTTATTTTCTTGTTTTTTTTTGTCTAATTGTTTTCCTTTTGTTTTTGCTTTAGTTTTTTTATTTTATTTATTCTTTATTTGGTTCTTTTTTATCTGTCTTTGTTTTGTCGTTTGTACATTCTTTCTGCTTAATTCTTTTCTTGTATTCTGTTTAATAATGATATATTATATTAGTATTATTGTTATATTTTTTGTACTTATATATACGTATATATCTTTTGTTTTGTTTGTTTTTGTTTTGTTCTTTTGTTTTTGCTTTTTCATATATTTTTGTCTTTTCGTCTGTCATTTCTTTGTTTGTTTCTTTCCTTTTGTTATTCTCATTTTATTTTCATTTAATTTTTATTCTGTTTAATAATGATATATTATATTAGTATTATTGTTATATTTTTTGTACTTATATATACGTATATATCTTTTGTTTTGTTTGTTTTTGTTTTGTTCTTTTGTTTTTGCTTTTTCATATATTTTTGTCTTTTCGTCTGTCATTTCTTTGTTTGTTTCTTTCCTTTTGTTATTCTCATTTTATTTTCATTTCATTTTTTGATGTTTTTTGTCTAATTTTTTACCTTTTGTTCTTTTTTAAATTAATTTTTGTTTCATTAATTTCTTGCATTGTGTTTAATTGTTTTCTTTCATTTGTTCTTTTTTAAATAATAATAATAAAATATTTTTTTATTATTAATAATAATAATAGCTATTATTATTAGTGGTAGTAGTGTGTATGTATATATATATTTATTTATTTATTTATTTATTTTTATTTATATCATGTTTTATAAGTCTTTTGTTTGTTTTTGTTGTTTCTTTTGTTTATGCTATTTTTGTTCATTCTTATGCTTGTCATTTTTTTGTCTTTTTCGTCTCTAATTCTTTATTTTCTTTTTGTTATTCTTAGTTTATTTTTATTTGGCTTTTCTTATTTCTTTTCTTTATGCTTTGTATTTATGTATAATTTCAATATAATAATAGCAATAATATATATATATATACTTTTTTTTTTTTTTAAATTTTATCATGCCTAATCATTTTACTCTTAACTTGGTTTAATATAACTAATAAACCGCTCAAGGCCAAATGTGATAGAGATTTTACTGTATCAAAACACCTTTACTATGGTAAAACCACTACATTTTGACGTCAAGTGGCTTATCACTGTCATTTACTGTCTCCATGCCGTGAGTTTCCCGCTGAAAGCAGATCCCGCGGCTCCCCGGAGGTGTTTTAAACGCTCAGATTCCTCTTACAGAGGCGACAGCGAGCCACCGACCCAAATGAACCATTCCAGGTGGAAAAAAAACAAAGAGTAACAACAACAGCATCTCCAGCTTGTTTGCTTTCCAAAGGCTTGAAAAAGGGGCCGTGAAGTGAAAGACAGCTTGTTAGTCGACGCTTTCTTTGCCTCCTCATTTCTCCATGCTATTTTGGGTTTTTCCTAAGCGCCCGTACGCTTGAACTCACCTGAACATGTGCGCATGTGGCATAATAAAATAATGCCCAGAGACCGTGTTTGTATCCCGTCCTCCACTCCGGCTCCGGCTGGACTCCGATGCGCCGCTGTTCCTGTTTAGCTTGTTTAATTGGCTGAAAAATAAACAAATGTGGTAACACTTTATTTTAGAGTCTCTTAACTAGTTTCTTATTAGCATGCATATTACTAGAACATTAGCCATTTATTATTACTAATTAAGCACATATGTAAGGGATAATCAACGGCTAGCCGTGCATTAAAGGATTTTAGCGTGCGTGCGCGAGTGATGTGTGTTGGTTAGAGTGCATCAATTAAAGCAGCGCATTAATATAGAACGGTGATTAAACTGACTTGGAACTAACTGTGCATTAAACTGTTTTACTGCATACCTGCCAGCCAATCAGAATCCAGTATTCAGACAGACCATGGAATAATAATGCCTTATTCTACATCCCTAATCCTCCCCAATACCTAAACTTAACAACTATCTTACTAACTATTAATAAGCAGCAAATTAGGAATGTATTGAGGGAAAAGTCGTAGTTCTAAAGTGTTACCAAAAATTTTAAATATTTTTAACGATTAATGACTTGAAACGGCCTTGAGACATGTTTAGCTTGAGTAACAATGTGTTTCCAACTCAATATTCAGGATTTTATTAATTGTGATTTAATTGTTTTTGTAAAAAGTATTATTTGTCCCCGCCTACATTATTTTTTTTTATGTAACATACATTAGTGAATCATACACAATATGTTTAATATGTTTTAGTTTTGTTTGTTTTTCCTTTTGTTTTTTCATTAATTCGTTTGTTTGTTCGTTTGATTTTGTTTTAATGATCTTGTTAGTTTTTTTGCTCATTTTCTTTCATCTTTTCATTCTTTTCGTATTAAACATAGGTGGATAAAGTTGTTTTTTTAATGGAAAATTACAAAAAGTGTTTTTTTTAAATAACGTACACTAGTGAATCATAAACAGTTTGTTTAATATATTTTAGTTTTGTTTGTTTTTACTATTTTTCGTTAATTTGTTTGTTTATTCTTTTTTGTATTCTTTAATTTTTAAGCTTTTGTTTGTTCTTATTCTTAGTTTTTTGTTTGCGTTTTATTTGTTTTGTTCTGTTTAGGTTCTACTTTTGTTTTAATTAATTTGTTAGTTTTTTGCTCCGTTGTTTGTTTTCTTTTTTTATATTTTCTTTTATTCATTCTTATTGTATTTCATCTTGTTTCATTCATTTTGTTCATTTTTATCATTAAACGTTTTAAGAAAGTTTAAAAAAATTACAAAATCTGTTTTTTTAAATTGTATTATATTTTTTATGGAATCGTACACAATACATTTGAATGTATTTTAATTCCGTTTGTTTGTTTTTTTACTTTTGTTATCTTCATTCATTTTTTGTTCTTTCTGTATCTATTTATTTTGTTCTTTAATTCTTACATTGGGCCTTTTTTCTTCATTCTTTGTTTTTGTTTATTATTTCATTTTGTTCTGTCATTTGTTTTTCTTATTGTCCTTTCGATTGTGTTTCTTATGTTGTAAAATCATTTCGTTATTTTTGTGTTTTTTTGTTTGTTTTAGTTCGTAAATTTTTCGCTTGTTCAGTTCGTTCTGTTTCTTGTTCATTAAACTTTTTTTTTTTTTTTAGAAAGTTTTAAGATTTTAAAGTTTTAACGTTTTTTTCACGGAAAAAACATTTAACTATTGAATCGTACACAATATATTTAAAATATTTTAGTTTTTACTTTTTTCGCTCATTCGTTTGTTCTATATCTTTTGTTTTTTTTTCATTTACTTTTTCCTTCATTTTTCGTTTCTTTTAGTAATTACATTTTCTGTGTCGCTTACTTTTGTTTTAAATTTTTTCATTTTACATTTTTACTTTTTTAGCTTTTTTTTTTTTTGTTGTTTCGTTTTGTTCGTTCTTCCTTTCTTATTTTTCTTTCATTCTTCGTTCATTTTTGTCAAATCAAAGTTGTTTTCGATGGAAATTACAGAAACTGTTTATCTTTGTAAATAACGTACACAGTCTGTTTAATAAATAATTAAATACGAACGTACATTTATCAGTTTGGTTCATAGACAGCTAAGTTTCTGTTCTGGTTTCCGTCAGGTTGTTACGGCGTCAATCCCAACACGAAACAGGAGGGCTGGATGTGTTCTCGGTGCACTGCGGCCGAATGGACAGCCGTAAGTATCGCAAATAGCTTTCACGCGAACATGGATCAGTTAAAATCATTGATATTAAAAATGACTGTTCACATGCAAGTCTTGAGCAGAAATGTGAACGTTGAACCTCTATATGGCACATTTACTGTTGCGTTAAACCGTTGTGTTCATGATTGTGTTCATTCGACTTGTTTATTCGTCGCAGGCCTGCTGTTTGTGCAGTTTAAGAGGAGGAGCTTTGAAGAAAACCACAGATGACAGGTCTAATATCTCAAACTCTTTCTCTCATATCGCATGTTAATTACGAGGAGATCCGCGGCATCTGTTCATGCATGTTTATCAAACGAGCTCTGCAGTAACCATGCGTTTGGTGTCCCGTCCGCAGGTGGGTTCACGTGATCTGCGCCGTCGCTGTGGCCGAGGCTCGTTTCGTTAACGCTGTGGAGCGAGAGCCTGTGGACGTGACGGCCGTCCCCGACACCAGGAAGAGTCTGGTAAGTCAGGATGAAACCACACTCCTCCTCGTTGTTTTACCGCATAATGTTTTAAAATGGAGATTTCTCTGTTTGTTCATTCACTCGTTTGCGCCTCCTTTGATTTGTTCTGTTGTAGATGGTCGTCTTTTACATTTTTGTGTTTGTGCTTTTGTTTATTGCTTTTCCCTTTCGTTCTTTATTTTTTTGTTCATATTGTAGCTTAGTTTATTTTTCTTACTTTTTAAATTTTTTTTCTTTCGTTTTTTATTTTTTGTTTTAGTTCATTCGTAAACGTTTCGTTAGTTTGTTCTGTTTCATTTGTGCTTTTTTTTTTTCATTACTGATTAGTTTGTTTCATTTTTGTTTTTCATTCTTTTTATTTGTTTTTTCTTACGTTGTTTTTCTTTTTCGCTGTTTTGTTCTTTTTTTTTTTTACTTTTAGTTCGTAAATTTTTTTTATCATTCATTTGTTTGTTCCGTTCCATTTGTGCTTTTGTTTTTTTTTGTTTATTACTAATTAGTTTTTCATTTTTGTTTTTCATTCCTTTCATTTGTTTTTTTCTAGCATTGTTTTTCTTTTTCGCTGTTTTTTTCTTTTTTTTTTTTACTTTTTTCATTTTAGTTCGTAAATTTTTCGCTCGTTCAATTGTTTGTTCCGTTCCATTTGTGCTTTTGTTTTTTTTTTGTTTATTACTAATTAGTTTGTTTCATTTTTGTTTTTCATTCCTTTCATTTGTTTTTTCTAGCATTGTTTTTCTTTTTCGCTGTTTTGTTCTTTTTTTTTTTTACTTTTTTCATTTTAGTTCGTAAATTTTTCGCTCGTTCATTTGTTTGTTCTGTTTCATTTGTGCTTTTGTTTTTTTGTTCATTTCTAATTAGTTTGTTTCATTGTGTTTTTCATTTCTTGTGTTTTTCTTACATTGTTTTTCTCTTTTTGCTGTTTTTTTCCCCATTTTTGTTCATTTGTAAATTTTTCACTCGTTTGTTTCCGTTTCATTTGTGCTTTTGATTTGTTTTGTTAATTCTTTGTTTCATTTGTTTTTCATTCCTTTTATTTGGTTTTTCTTTGTTTTAATTTTTTCATTCTTTTGTTTTTTTACTTTACTTTTGTTTTAGTTTTAGTTTTTTTAGTACATTTTTCGTTCATTCTTTTTTGTTCTCTGTTTCTTCCGTTCTTTCATATGTGCATTCATTTTTTTGTTGTTTGCTTCTTGTTTTTTTCTCTTTAATGATTTCTTTATTTCGTTTGTTCTTTTTACTTTAATTTAATTAATTTAATTTTGTATTGTTTTCACTTCGCTTTCATTTGTTTATTCTTTTACTTAATGGCCTTTTCTTTGTTTTTTTTTTCTTTGATTGTTTCATTCTTTTTGTTCTTTTGTTGGTATTTTTATACTTGGTTACTTACAGTTTCTTTGTTAATTTTTCATTCATTCTTTTATTTCTTTTCATTCACTGTTTCTGTTTCTTTCCATCATTTTTTTTATTCTTTCATTTGTGCTTTATTTCTTTTCTAATTTGTTTCTCTTTATTTTATCTATTTATTTGTTCTTTTGTTTGTGCTTTTCTTTTTCTTTCACATTTTTTTTTCTTTTTTTATTCAAGTTTAATTTTATTTTCTACTTAAGTTTTTGTTTGTTTTTTCTGTTTGTTTTTCTTTTGTTTGTGTGCTTGTTTCTTTCATTATTTCTTTCGTTTTGTTCTTTCCATTCTTTCATGGTATTTTTTTTTCCTTCAGGTTTTAGTTAATTGTTTTGCTTAATTTCTTTTGTTCTTTCACGTTTGTTTCTTGCTTTTGTCTTTCTTTCATTCATTCATTTTTTTCATTCGTTCTTTAATTTCTCACTTGTTTTATTCATTATTCTAATTCTTTCATTCATATTTTTTTCTTTTTGGCTTCTACTTTAGTCTGTTTTCATCAATTCGTTCATTTTTCTCTCATTCATTATTTTATTTTTTATTTTTTGTTCATTATTTAGTTTCTTTCTTTTGCCTTTTATGTTCTTTCACTCTTTCTTTACTGTTTTTTCTTTCATTTGTATTTTCATGTTTTGTCGTTTCTCTGTCATTCTCCCTCTCTCTTTCTCAGAGGATATGATGCATTATTAATTATGTGCAATGGCTGAATAATCAGGTGTCGTTCCTCACTGTGCTAAATGAGCTGCATTGATTATATAGGCAGGTTTCTCCTCCTCCGCCGCGTGTCTGAACGCTGTTCAATGCATTTGTGCCGACAAATACACAACCCAGAGCAGCTTCAGCACATGATGACATGAAAAATGTGCTTCGGCGAGACTCATAAACCTCTCGTACTGTTCATACAGCTGACTTGCGCTACCATTCGCCATTAGCAAGCGGAAAAACCCAGGTTTGCTGGAAATCAGTGCAATAACGAATGAACACCAAACATTTAGTTTCACTCTAGAACAAGAAACAGCGTCGTATTGTAGATTAAAAGGAGGCCGCTTTATCTGCCGGCTCTTGATGTATGAATGAATAACTGAGAGCTCGATGCTCATAAATCACGTATATTTTTTTCCCTTCTCTTGTCCGTTGGCCTGTCTTGCGATCAATCCCTGGCGAATGATAAATCAGAGGCTTTCACCGGCCGATGAAATATTTCAGAGCCGGCGCCTCATCGAAAGGCCGTCGTACATTACGGCCGCTTGGCCACAGGAGGCTGAAATGAAGTATTGACAATTTAATAAAGAATTTTTATTCCTGTCGATATCTGTGTGTGTGTGTATGTGTGTGCGTTTGGAGGCGATTTATGCGGAAACGCAGGAGAAGAGGAGAGAGACGGGGATGAACGGACACAAAATGTTTCCATTTGAGAGGATATTCGAAAAAAAAAACGCTAAAATATCAACTGCTTTTATTTTCAAATGCACTCTCGTGCCACAAACTCAGCCCTAATTTCTGCGTAAGACTGTTTGTGTTCACTTTATTAGTAAATGTTCATCTTTGTAATCTTTCATCGGAGCTGCTGCTGCTGCGCTCTTGAAATGACTTTCGTTTTCAGCTGACACGTGAAAATAATGTTAGCCAAAAGCCAAATAGCTGCTTAGCATTGACTTCGCAAACTCAGGCCACATTCTGGTGTGAAACGCCCTTTTTCTGATGCGTAAAATCACTTTTTCTCATTTAATATCTTATTACTAAGTGTCTAGTGTTTCGTTCGTTCTTATTCATTTGTTTGGTGTTTGTTTGTGTTGTTGTTTCTGTTCTCTTTTGTTTCTTGTTTTTTTAATTTCATTTGGACTTTTGTTTGTTTTTGTTCAATCTTAATTTGTTTCTTGACTTTCTTTCACTATTTCTGTCCTTCATTCTTTTCTCTATTTTTTTTTTGTTCAGTTTTTTTCTTCAGTTCGTTCGTTTTCTACATTTGTTTGTTATTTTATTCTATCGTTTATGCTTTTTCTTTCATTATTTGTTTCTTTTACTTTGTTCTCTTTAGTTTTGTTCTTGCATTCGTTTTGTTTCATTCTTTTCTCTTTTTTGTTTCTTTGTTTTGTTTTACTGTTTCCTTTCTACTTTTATGTTCATTCGTACTTATGTGTTTTTTGTTTTTCTTTATTTTGTTTTTTCATAATTTTTCATGTTGTTTCCTTCCTTCGTTTCTTTTGCTGTTTTTTTATTCATTTTTATTTAATTTGTTCATTGTTTCTTTTCTCCATTTTTTTGTTCCTTTCTTTTAGTTCGTTTCCCTTCTACTTTTGTTTTCCTACAATCTTTTCTCTATTTTTTTTCTTTTGTTTTGTTTCTTCTCCACTTTTGTTTTCATTCATTTATATATGTGTTTGTTGTTTTCTTTCATTCTTTGTTTCTTTCATTCATTCTTTTCTCTATTTTTGTTTCGGTTTATTTTAGTCCGTTTCTTTTCTGCTTTTGTTTTCATTTTTTCTCTCTTGTTTTCTTTTGTTTCTATTTGTTTCGTTTTTTCCTTCTCTACTTTTGTTTTCATTTATTCAAATACTATTTTTGTTTGTTTTTCTATTTCTTTACTCCGTTCTTTAATTCTTTTGCATGTGCTTTGTCTTTATTTTTTTGTTTCTTTTGCTGTTTGTTTTCCTTTGTTTCTTTTATTTTGTTTCCTTTTCTACTTTTGTTTTCATTCATCTCTATTTTTTTCTTTTCATTCGTTGTTTTCATTAGTTTTTTTATTTGTTTGTTCTTTCTGTTTCTATTTCTTTAGTCTGTTCTTTTGTTTGTGTTTTTTCTTTCATTCTTAGTTTCTTATGCTGTCTGTTTTCTTTCATTTTGTTCTTGTTTTGGCTTCTGCTTTTGAATTAGTTAATATTTTAGTTTTGTTTTTTTCTCGCTAATTCATTGCTTTGTTCTCCCTGTTTCTGTTTGTTTATTCCATTTTTTTGTTGTTTTTTGCCTTTTTTTTTTGGTTCATTCTTATGTTGTTTCTTTCAGGGGGGTTTTAATACTTTTCTAAAATTAACTGTCCTTTTGAACATTTTGGATGTTTTATTTTAGTTCACACATTAATAAATGTTTTATTATAAAAGGCTTCTGAAATGACGTTCTTTTTTTAGCTGTTTACCATCAGCCTAATAGCTATATTGCATTGAACTCCCATTCGGCTTCGGCTCCAATTTCCAGTAGGCCCTTTAAATGGATAAAAATGACACTTTGTCATTGAGTATCCTGGAAATTTGACATGTTGCAAAGGCTGTAATTCATGTTTCTTGTTGACATTTCCTCGTTACGATTTGCAGAAGTGCGTCTACTGCCACAAGACGACCAAGCAGATCTTCGGCGCGTGTATCCAGTGCTCGTTGGACAACTGCTCCACATCCTTCCACGTCACCTGCGCCCTCCTCGCCGGAGTCGTCATGAAGCCGGCCGATTGGCCGTACGTGGTGTCCGTCACCTGCCACAAACACAAAAAGACCAATCAGAAGGTGCGTAGCCGCTATAGAAGGGATCTTAATGCACACGGTGATCCTCAAACTGACGGTTTGCCTCCGCCGCAGGTTAAAAGCGGCTCGCGCGAGCTGTCGTTGGGTCAGGAGGTCATCGGCAGGAGCAGCAACGGTTGGTTCTACCGCTGCACCATCACCGGCATTGGCACGCAAAACTACTATGAGGTCAACTTTGACGACGGCTCCTACTGTGATAACATCTTCCCAGAGAACCTGCTGGTGAGACGCCAACAAATAGTCACTTTTTAGGGATTTACAGTGGTTTTTAGTTTAGTAAAAGCACTGTAACATACAGCCTCTTGTGGTATATTGCGTTATAAAATGCACAGTCCTGGATCCTGTTGGAAATCTAGAATTTTTTTTTTTTTTTCATGGTTGCCAAGTGGCAAGTTACCGTCTCACAATTCAGACTTTTTTTGCTCAGAATGTGATATAAACTCATAATTCTGACTTTTTCTCCGAATTGCGAGATACTCAAAATGCGTAAACTCAGAAAAAGCTTATATATATCACAATTCTGACTTAATTTCTCAGAATTGTGAGTTTATATCTGCGCAATTCTGACTTTATTACATGCTGTTGTGAGTTTGTCACAATTCGGAGAAAAAAAGTCAGAGTTGCGGGATATAAATTCCGAGAAAAAAGTTAGAACTGCGAGGAAAAAAGTCAGAATTGTGTGATATAAACTGGCAGTTGGGGAGAAAAAAAAGTCAGAATTGCGAGAGAAGGTCAGAACTGTGATATATACTCGCAATTGCGAGGAAAAAAGTCCAAATTGCGATATATAAACTTTCAATTGCAAGAAAAAAGTCCAAATTGTGAGGAAAAAATCAGAATAGCATGATAAAAATTCGCAACTCTGAGAAAAAGATAGAACTGCGAAGAAAAAAGTCTGAATTGTGCGATATAAACTTGCAGTTGGGGAGAAAGAAGTCAAAATTGTGAGGAAAAAATCAGAATAGCGATATAAATGTGCAACTTTGAGAAAAAGATAGAACTGCGAGGAAAAAAGTTAGAAATGCTTGAAATAAACACGCAGTTGGGGAGAAAAAAGTCAGAATTGTGAGATATAAACTCACAATTGTGAGAAAAATTCAGAATTGCAAGATATAAATTAGCAATTCGGAGAAAAAAGTTAGAACTGCTAGGAAAAAAAGCAGAATTGCGAGAGATAAACTCACAATTGCGAGGAAAACAGTCTGAATTGCGAGAGAAAGTCAGAATTGTGAGATAAACAGTCACACTCTTTTTTTTTTTTGTATTCAGTGGCGAAAACGGGCTTCCACACTTTGGCGCATTCATTTGACTCATCCAACCAGATTCTAGAGATTTTGGTTGCTAAAACCTCCTTAATCATGAAAAAAAAAAATAATAAAACTGTAACGTATGTCATCTTGTGGCTTATTGCTGTCTAAAAGGCAGGTCCTGGATGCTGATTGGTTGAAATCTAGATTGATTGTAATCCAACTGTAGCTTGTTATGGTTGCCAATTGTTTTTAGCACATTAATTTGGCTCATCCAGTCAGATTTTGGAGCTTTTAGTAGCTGAAACCATCTTAGTCATGATAAAACCGTTGTAATGTACAGCCTCTTGTGGCTTATTGCCTCGGAAAATGCTTAGCTCTGGTCCTGGATGCTGATTGGTCGAAATCTAACTGTAGCTTGTTATGGTTGCCTTTTGGCTCATCCAATCAGATTTTAGAGCTACAACTGTCCGTTTGATCCATCATCTTTTTGATTTCTCTGTCTCAGAGTCACGACTGCCTGAGGAACGGCCCTCCAGAACTGGGCGAACTCGTGGTGGTCAAGACAATCGATGGACGAGTTCTCAATGCGTCTTACGTCAAGGAACACGTCCACCGATACTACCAGGTAACTGTGATGTCTTTCAGTTTTATTTGTGTTTGTTTATCCCCCATTTTATGACTCTTTTAAGACTTGGTTTGGTAATCTGTTTCAAGCCAAACTACTTTTTGAATGGATATTAAATGGATGTTGCAAAGTGCAACACGTCTTCAAACAGCAAACAAATAAACGTACAGCGTGACCAGAGTTGTTCAATCTGTGAATCAGTGACTCTTATGAAGCGGATCTTTTTAATTATTCTGTCAGAAATTATTCAGTTTTGGGTACTTCAATTACTAGAACAGTATTTAATAAAATAATTTGTAATTATGTTGAGTATAGTGTTTATTTTACTTGTATATAATTCAGATCAGGAGAGCGCCTCAATGACATCTGATTTTTTGATCTTTCAACTTCAACTTCCTTGTGATTCCCCATCTTATCCGAGTCTTTCAGGAGTCCCACATTTGGTGCAAAGTTTGCTTTCCTCGTACACAGCGGAGCCGCTGACATGTTGAGTGGAAGGGAGGCGAGATTAATGGGAAAATGAGAAAACTAGGATGATGTGGCGCATGGGGGATTTATGGAGTCTGTAGATGAAGTTTATGAGGTGTGATGGACCACAGGCGGCGAGAGTAGACCGCCATTCATCTGCTATTTCACGTACATGCGCTGCTCCTCACAGGAAGTGCTTGTGCGTTCTTGTGCAGCGACGGGCCGATGTTTTTCTTTACATTTGGGTCACATTTTGATGGAAAAGTGACTCAGAAAACTACCAGAAAGCTAAATCGAACATGCTTTTTTCCGTTTTTTTGGCTTACCAAACTGTGGTAATACATTGTTTGACACATTGAATGAACTAGTTTTGCTTCACGTCAGATTCTTTCTCATTAAAACCCAAACACACACACAGTGTTTCATTGCTCGGCTGAGCTCTTGAGAGACTCCTCTGTCAGCATTAACGAACTTCTTGATTCTCTCCTCCTCCACAAGACTCTATTATTTATTAGATCCGTGTGAGTCATGGCTCTCGTAACAAGCGCCGATAGCTTTCATGACGTCACTTTTACCTTTGCTAGACGCACCAAACGCTCTCCCACCCGCCGCGGGCGATCTGTAACTGGATGCCTGTAAGTCTGACAGGTCTTGAAGCCGTTGGGAATTGATCTGGAATAGGGTGTTGATTTCAGACTGGTTGAAAGTTTGCAACTTATGTTGTTGTTGGATGTTCTTCCGATCAAAAATAAAGGAATATTTCAGGTTAAATGCAGTTTTTACAGCTCTATTAACAACATTACAGAAGTAAATTATTGTAGATTAATGTATTGTCAGGACATGTGCCCTACATTTTATAATAAATAATATAATTGTAATATTATATATATATATATATATATGACTATACGCTTAATGTGTGTGTGTATATATATATATATATATATGTGTGTGTATGTGTGTCATTTCATATTATTTTATATAATTATTATTTTCTATTAAAATAAACAATATATATATTATAAATATTATTATATATATTTATTAATATATAATTATAAATTAAATAATAATTCATTTGGATTTAAATATTTTACACATATATAATTGAGTGTTGATATTTTATAAATATTTAAATATGGAATAATATATATAATTGCTTTTTAATTTAGTTAACAACAGTTAACAGATTTTTAGCAGTTTTTTTGCATTTCTATTTTCTACATGTATAACTGGAAAATTGTTTCCCAAGAATGTTAGTAAGATGGCTGCTGAGCAAACCGAAACGATGCTAGTAGTTTTTCTAAATTTGGATCGTTTTTAAAAAAGTGGTTCCAAGAAAAGGATCCAAGGCGTCTAAACTGTATTTCCTTCCAGGTGGAGTTTCAGGACGAGACGCAGATCTTACTGAAGCGCAGCGAGATTCACTCTCTGGACCATGAGCTGCCCAAGAGGGTCATGTCTCGTCTGGTAAGCGCTTTTATTTGCTTCAGGCCAAGTACTGTATGTTTCTGCACAGAGAATTCATCAACGTGAAGTCAAAGTGCAGGTTTAACACTTTATGGCTTTCGTGTTTGTCAAACTAGAAGGTTTATCAAGCTAACAGTGCAGTTGGAGCTGAAGGTTTATCAAGCTAACAGTGCAGTTGGAGCTGAAGGTTTATCAAGCTAACAGTGCAGTTGGAGCTGAAGGTGTGCCGATCTGATTATCGGTATCGGCTCCGATGCTGCCATTTTCTGCCGAATCGGGTAGCGGTCAGACGAGACCGATCCTAATCCAATATTCAGGGTTCAGTTTGGAACGGTATGGAATTTGATTTAAGTAATTTCCAGGTCTGGAGGAGTATGGAAAAAAGAAAGCAGAGTATGCTTTCTTTTTAACTGAAATTTAAAACTGTTCAAAGAAAAGGCTCAAACTATCGCACAGATATAATACACTATGCATCAATATCTCTTCTCTTTGTGCTTTGAACTTTTCTATGCAAAGTGCTGGGCACTGTGACTCTGTGTTGCTTCAAGTAGGCCTGTCGCAATAATCAATATATCGACTTATCGCGCAATATATGTACATGACCCCAATAATTTTTGGTGAAGCAATATATCGCCCATTATATTTAATTAAAAATTAATGTCATCATGTTTTGTACATTCCATTTGCATCTGTGTCTTTTGCAGCTTCTCGTATTTTCCATGATCTAAATATTCTTAAAAATTAAAGGTTTGTTGTCATTTGGAAGTGTGTAGGCCTTCTTGCATTATTATGTTGTTATATTATGATTATATATTCAGTGGCATAAAATGGTTTTTAAAATGACAATAATATCACTTATCGCAATTATTTCTGGGGCAATATATCGCACAACAAAAAGTTATCATGACAAGCCTAGCTTCAAGCGCATCATTCAGCGCACGGGATGAGCATAAGAGATTTGTGCCGCTCCGTATTGGAGCCTTTCATATTGTAATATTTTTGCACAATGAAAGATTATTAATAGCTTTTCTTGTTCTGTCCGATCTATCATATGTTGCTGCCTCATTACTGTGCTATACATTTAAAAGAAATGTCTTTTAATTTTATATTATATATTTATATATAAATATATTTACTTGTTTTTCATTAATGTATTTAAAAAAAATACAAAGAGCAATGTGTAACATTTTACCAGATTTAGTCCTACACTTTTAATTGTTCCCCATTAAATAATGTTTTTTTTCACTAAATGTTTAGATTTTATGAAAATTATTGTGCACTCATGATTTTTCTAGAGTAACTTTTGCTGCTGAATTATTCACTAACCTAGTTTATAATAGTATTTTTGTCATAGATTATGATTATATATTTTTTAATTTGTTATCTTTCTTTAAAATGAAGTTGCCTGTATTTAGTAGATTGTGTTTAACTCACAAAAAAAGTGATGATCAGGTCAACATACATTGGAAATTCTACACTAATTAAAAAAAAACTACGCTGTTATCGGAAAAAAATGGTATCAGTCCACCCCTAGTTGGAGCCCATTTGGAGAGCTCTGATTGACATCACTAAATGATAATTGTCTTTTTTTTTTCCTTTTCAACAGGCAACTGTGAACCAACAGCAACCTCAGGTGCAACCGTCAGATGAACCTCTGGCCGCGAAACGTCCACGTCTGCCGACACCGCCACCAATACTAGCCATTGAGCCCTCGGCACAACCTCCAGAAATAGTCACCGCTTTCCTGCCCGCTAGTATTACTCCAAACACCAGCTCTGCCCCCTGCCTGCCTCCCCCCACCTCACTTCCTGTTTCAGCACTCACACTTTCTGCCCCGGAACCCAGCGAGAGTTACACCCATAGCTCCAGCTACGTAGCCTACATGGAGTCTCTCCTCAACTCAGACTTTCCTTCAGAAGAGGAACAAGGTGTTGAGCCGATGTATTGAAGTGCCACTTTGCGCTACCAGCTATTCGTCAACACATACAGACTTTAAATTCATCTACTGCATGTCTTTGTTTCATTTATTCGCTGTCGTGCTAATCCGAGTCTCCCACCCATGAACGGTGCGCGTGGGACACATGCGTGTCATTATAGACTGAAGCCGAAACGGACCCAGTACATAGCCTTGGGGGATGCCTCACTCTTCCGACCCTTTCCACGATCCCTCGCGCCGGTTCTTTCACTAAACGGAAAGAGCCGCCATACATTTTCAGATGGGATAATCATTCACTGTATGTGCTGTTTACTTTATACCTGATTTTTTTTCTCTAACGAGTGCTAAATATTTTTCTAACTCAAGCCAAAACATGCTACCCGGTCACAGATCACATAGACAGTCTATATCTGTACAGTTTCAGGTATTTTTCTCTGTACTCAAGTGTTCGGGGGGGGGGTCACAGGAAGAGTTTTAGCTGGGCTCATGGGATTTAATAAGTATTTAAATGTCTTTTGTCACATATAGATTTAATACTTGTATAAAGAAAATCAATTATGGCAGCATCAGAAGCTACAGTTTTCAGTTACCGTACACAACTGTGTTACGATAGATTTGCGCGGGTTCATGTATTCTTCTATAATCTACGATAAAAGGTTTTTCAGCACCAGATGATTTGTTTTTGTAGCATACTTGGTAGACGTTGATATTGAATACTATTCACCTTGTCTGTTTTTTATTATGATTACCATTGTTGTTATGATTATTATTTTTATTGATTTTTATTTTGGTGAGTCTTTGCAACACAATGTCGAAAGATGAAAAAAAAAAAGTTGAATTTATCATTTTTATTCAAGAGGTTGAAGTGGCGTACATTTAAAACGTATAGTCATAGGTGATGTTAAACAGATACGCAATCTGCCTTCTCAAGGTGCTATAGAAGTCTTAGACTACTGAGGGGCGATCCGGGTCACGTGACCCACAATGAGGTGTACATACTAGACGTCCTGCTCACAAATTGGAAAAATTTTCTTCAGTGTAACTTCTAGTCTTATCAAATGCCATGTCACATTCAAATAAAGGGTCTGGTTGTCGCTTCGGATTTGTTTTCTCCTTTTTGTTGTTTGCCCATCCTTGTTGTTTCGTCTTCTGACTTGAGCGATTATCAATCGGCACGCCTCCTTCACCGGTACTTGCGGATTCATCATCCAAATAGCACTGAGAATTTGATCCAGTGCACCCTAGATTAATTTGGAAACAAACACTCGGATAAGACCTTTACAGACATGATTGTCGTTATAGACTGAAGTCAAAACAGACCCCGTACATAGCCTTGAGGGATGCCGCACTCTTCCGACCCTTCCCACAATCCCTCGCTTCACCTCATTCATTAAACTGAAAGAGCCACATCACATTTTCAGATGTGAATAGTCATTCACTTGCTTTAGCATGCCATAGATTTTGGAGAATTGTAAATTAATTAAAAGTAAATTAATGAAAGGAAATGCCAACAAATGAAGTTGTGTCATTTAATAGACATTTCGAAAATGATTAATTGCATTCATTTTTATTGCATTATTTTCAAAAATAATTGCAGAAAATGTAATTCTTAAAAAAAAAAAATGTTCTCGTACAACATGATTTTTTTCCCTTTTTCATACTATTATTCCTCCCGCTTTGATTTTGACTGTTTTTTTTTATAAGAACATCTGAATTACACCTCTAAGATAACGAATCTTTAGGGAGGAAGTGCGTACTGAGGTTTGAACTTCGCAAGCGCATCCTCTCCCCTTCCTTTTAATGTGACAACCACTGTTCTCGTCTCATCACCTTTTGTTGTTTTCCACCCGCCAGTAATGCCTACAGCCGCTCTGACAGTAGACGTGCAGTGTGTTGATGGCATTTGTACTCTTCTGGTCCTGGGGTTTCTGCTTTGCATTAACAGAAACGTCATGAAAGGCAGGTTTAATGAAATAACCCACCACAGCTTGCATACTGATGATGGCAAATGTTTATCTGTGCAGAAGTACTAGGAAAGATTCTAATAAAATGTGAAGTGAAACTGTGCTTTGTATTTGACTGTGTTTATTTGTCTGGGAAAGCCATGAAAAACCTGGTTTAAATAATACAGAAAAAAAATACTTGAATGAATGTAGTAATAATTATCATTAAATAAAATGTGTGTGTGTGTGTGTGTGTGTATTTGGCTAGGTTTTGCTCTTGTATACAGTTTGTAGTATTCTTTTGAATTTATTCTTTTTGCTCTTGTATACAATTTGTATAATTATTCTTTTAAATTAGTTCTTTTTAATGAATCAGTTGAACCAGTTCACAAATTAGTTGATTTCCCCAAATGTAATCTAAATGGTTCTTCAAAACCTTATGCAGTAATCACAAACAACTGTAAAGGTCATGGAAATCAATTGGCCTATAACAAGCTTTTGCTCTTGAAAATGTGGCGTTTTTATAAATTGCTTTCTGAAAAGTCATTTTCTGAAGTTCAGAGGTCAGTAAATTGTTTATTCATTTCAAATGATCCCATTCAAACAGATTAAAAGCTTTTTGGAGACCAGCGCCATTAAAAATAAACCATTATGAAAAATACCATGAATCTCCGAGGTAAGAAGATTAATCTGGCTGAGAGTTGTTTTGTCAAATCGAAGCCTCATTGACATTTAGCCGCTCTTAATGTGGCTTTATCGGATTAAAAACCAATTAGGCTTTTAAAATATAGGCTAATTGAAAATGAAATGTCAGTCAGGATTTGTTTGGCGCCACTGTAGATCCCATAATGCACCGCGCACGCCGCCGTGACACTCGCACACAAACTCCATTCATAAAGTTATGAATCCTCTTACGCTCTGAGATATTTCGAGACGCAGCTGCCGAACTGAAGAGATGTGAATTGACACATGCGCTCATTACCTGCTGCATATCCTCTTTAGTTAGTAAGCGTGGATGACGTTAACTCACCCGAGCGTGACACGTATCAAACATGCATCATAATAGAACAGGACGCGGGAAATAAAGCCGCTGCTAAAGACAGAAGTAGTGTCTTATGAAAGCGCTTTGAATAAATAGACTCGTTCTGAGGACAAGACATGATTCATGAGAGGCACTGAGAGTCATGCACATTCAGTTAGAGTTTAATTCATTTCAACGAATTGTTAACGAAAAGTTAAAACACAACCAAAAATCTGTAGGGAAAAAAATGGCGTTAATTTTATTAACTTCTATTAATGAGTTCAAACTGCATGTTTCAACAATTCAATGAAGAAGTATTAAGAGATTTAAATTGTAGAGACAATATTGTCTGTTTTGCTCTGTTTCGCTAAACAAAAATGTTTCCAAACAAAGCCATGTTAAGCGGTGTTTGCTTAATGAATGAGTGTTTGAACAAATCGGGTGAGTCAATGATTCACTGATTCATTCATGAAAACACTAGCTACGTCCCAAATGACGCACTATACCAGGGGTGTCAAACTCAATTCCTGGAGGGCCGGAGCCCTGCAGAGTTTTGTTCCAACCCTGCTCCAACACACATAGCATGTAGTTTTCAAATAAGCCTCAATATTGTCTGTTTTGCTCTGTTTCGCTAAACAAAAATGTTTCCAAACAAAGCCATGTTAAGCGGTGTTTGCTTAATGAATGAGTGTTTGAACAAATCGGGTGAGTCAATGATTCACTGATTCATTCATGAAAACACTAGCTACGTCCCAAATGACGCACTATACCAGGGGTGTCAAACTCAATTCCTGGAGGGCCGGAGCCCTGCAGAGTTTTGTTCCAACCCTGCTCCAACACACATAGCATGTAGTTTTCAAATAAGCCTGAATGACTTGATTAGTTGGATCAGGTGTGTTTAATTAGGGTTGAACCTAAATTCTGCAGGGATCCAGCCCTCCAGGAATTGAGTTTGACACCCCTGCACTATACACTATGCACTAGGGATGTGCCCGAATAGTGAATCCGAATTCGGAAAGGCACAGAAAACGAATAACGTGTTCTACGGAAGCCCTAAAGGGAATAAATACGAGATGGGAGGAAAAAAAAATATTTCAGTGCTTTCTCTCACAAGTATATCGTTGAGTAATTATACTGTATATAAATTGCGGGCATCAGGAAGCCTCTATTAATATGTGGGAGCACTGAAATAGCTTTTGAATGCGTGCTCACTTTTTACTTTCACTTTCGAGATTCACGTTCACACGTACTCTGTGTATACTGTGGAGCAGCAGTACTTACCACACATTTCACAAGATTAGATTTTTGTCAGTGGTGCTCAGGATCTGCACATCATTCGCCATCGTCCTATCAGTCATCTCTCCTTACTCTATTTATGTGGTAATTGAAATTGTATGTACTGTAATGTAACAGGCTACCACTAGCAAGCGGCTAACCATGTCCCTTTAGTGGCTCCGTAGAACACGTTATTCGTTTTCTGTGCCTTTCCAAATTCGGATTCACTATTCGGGCACATCCCTACTAGGCACTCATACACTATGTACTTATGCGCTATGTACTCAACCATGTAGTGTATGAATTATATAAGGTTATTTTGTCATTCATAAATGGAGTCTGATAGCCCCTCCCCCCTCGCTACATAATTAAAGCTGTGACAATTGAGTGCATGACGTCATAGTATACGTAGATGCCTCATTAGCAATTGTTTCTATGGGCCGCTATACGTAAGCCGTCCGCCATATTGGAATGGTCAACTTGACGTCATTCACCATAATAATCAATGAATATTCGAAGATGCCACAATCCTTACATATTTATGGTTCCGCTGTGGAGCTGTCGCATCTACCTATACATATCTATGCATGAAGTGTCCAACATTCGACACTTCATTTTTTCGGTTAAGTGCATCATCCGGGTATTTAAAGTGCACTTTTTCTATTTGGAATTTTGAGAGTGAACACACTACTCGCACTGTTTATACTACAAAATGTCATAGTATAGTGCATAAGTATGCGATTTTGGATGCACCTACTTTCTTCACTCTTGATTGAATCAGCCGCTCCGAAAGAATCGATTGAATAAATGACTCAGCAACTCGCTTATTAAGATTGTGGCTTGCCGCCACCTACTGGCAATTTTTGTTTCATATTTAAAAGTATTAAATAAAATCTATTTTTTACCCTACCATTTCATATTTCTTTATATCAACTTTATATTTAAAACATTATTCTCATAGCATTATTTATGCAATTTGTAGGTGTAGTGTAAATGCATGTACAAGTGCTAGAAATATATATAAATAAAAAAATAAGTGTATAGAACCCTGCATGCTTAATAAGCCTATACTTGGCTTTAAAAAAAATAAAAAATTATAAAGCCACTTAGCCGCTGTATATATATATATAGTTTATGTATGTATGTATGTAAGTGTATCCTGTGTATTCTGACATACATAGATGTCTCTGTCATTTGTGATTCTTTGTCACAGATATCTATCTATCTATCTATCTCCTTCACTCCCTCTATCCGTCTTGCTCTTTTTTTCTATCTGTGCTGTTAGACGTGATCAGCATCTCGATCTCTGTCTTTGATGCTGCTGAAAGTTGTTTTGAAGTCAGCAGATGAAACGGGGCCTGTCGTGTTGAGAGCGGGTTTCTGCGTGACCCCCCCGGTGACCCCATCGCTGCGGCAGGGCCGTTTGATGTGAACGCGCTCCCCCCTAATTACAGGCACTGGACTGACGCCGCCTAAGACAAATTCTGCCAGCGCAACGGAGCTGCAAGTGACAGCGTCGCTCTGACCCGTCTGTCTCTCTCTCAGGAGCAGCCCGCATTGATATTCCACTCATGTCGTTACGTCCAGAACAGGGCGTTGGGATCGTGCCAGATTCGCAATTACAGATATTAAAATGCATTTAGAGAAAGGCAAGGCCTGCTTTGATATTACAGATCAGGGCAGTGAAATACTAAAGGAGAATTTAGTGCTGGCCAAGCTGAGATCACCTGTCATGTGACAGGAAATGAACGGCCTTGGTGACTCATATGTGGTGAACAAAAACTAGATTGTTGGACATGGACATTTTGGATTTGTAGTTTTATTTTAATTATATTTAACTAATTCTATTTAATTCTATT